CATATAACTCCATTCCAGAATACAAAGTGTTTTAGGGCCTAGTAAAATTAACTTGGATCCTTACTTCATTCTTCATTAAAAAAAACCACAAGCCATTTTTCCAAGGGACTCCCATATCTGCCCCACAAATCAAATAGAAGTTGTATGGAATTAATTTTGCTTGTTAGTTGCTAATACGGTATTATTTGGTCTCCTCTAATAAATGTGTTACTTTCCAGAGACTAGAGATTTGTGTAATAGAATTACAAAATCTCACTGTGTGAATACAGACAGTTCATTTTCTCTTGTGAGTGTGCCGTAACTCATTTCCGAGCTGAATTACTATCAGGAAGTATCTTTTATTTCCTTCAAATGTACCATTTACTTTCCTCTCTCAGCTATTGTGGCTACTTAAAGAATATCCTGTGTTATCAGTATGAGGTCATCGTTAAAACGGTGTCTTGTTTGGACAGGAAGATGTTTGTGTTATGCCAGATTACAGGTCCCAACTTTCAACACTTATGAAAATAATTTATGACAGAAATAAGAAAATTTAAGCAGACACTGCCTCACCCCCTCAAAGCATGTGTAACTTCTTCTATGACAACTAGCTTCAAAAGGCCGAATTTCTCATCATTTATTCTTGGCGTGACTCAGACAGAAATCTTTCCTGTTCATGGAAAGATTTTTCCTTCAGATGCACAGTAATTGTTTCAGCATTAACTAGAAGGGAGCTGAACTCAGTGGTTACTTTTATACCACGATACTGTAGGAGATTTGTAACTTAACAGCTACCATTTTAATGGGAAACTTCCCAAGAATCATTGGTAAAGACAATCCCAGCTTTCTTCTTGGTGTCTCAGGCTGGGTATTTCTACCTCTAAGCTGCTGTACAGCATGAAGAGTGCAGAATGTATAGAGCCCCGGGCTGGAAAGTAGGACCCCAAACTCCTAGCCCCTATGCAGGACCCTGAGTTCTTAGTCTAAGTCTTGCACTTTCCTTTTTCCTGGTCTCATTTTGTATCACGCACAGTAAGAGCTTAGATGTGGTCCACACTATGGTTACAAGTGTCTTCTTTTTTTTTTTTTTTATTTTATTTTTTTTGTCTTTTTGAGACAGGGTCTCACTATGCAGCTCAGGCTGGCCTTGAGCTCACTTTGTAGCCCAGGCTGGTCTTGAACTCACTACGATCCTCCGGCCTCAGCCTCCGGAGTGCTGGGATTACAGGCGTGCGCCACCATGCCTGGCTACAAACTCCGTCTGTGACTGCTGGATGATGTTTGGGGTTAATAGGAAAACACTTGATTTTCAAGTGACATTTTCTGAAAACCTGAGAGTTCACCGGTCCCCTTCCCTGTTCTCCTCGGATTGGGTGCCTGCCTCTACCGTGGCCTGTACCCTCACACTGGCTCACAGGGCAGCACGATCACTGCTGGAACTTAAGCTCCCAAACTCCTAGCCTTTCTCACAGCCAGACCGCCCTCCTCCTCCGTCTCGGCCTGAGCCCGGGCCGCCCCGCATCGAGGCCAGCCCCTCACCTGCGCCCGCCTCCTGCTGTCTTCCCGGAACGCTGTTATTCTCTCATAGCTTAACCTCGCCCTGCACACCGGGTGCATAAGACACTCCGAAATAGTTTCTCGTCTCGCGTGCGCTCCCCACCGTATGCCTCTCGGCTGTACGCCACCGCCCGGCCCTGGCGCGCCTCCGGGCAGGTTCGCGCCCGCGGCGCCGCCGAGCGCGCTTCTCCGGCCGCGATCTCCGCCTCGCCGCTGACGCCTCTCCCTGCCTTCCAGGAGCCCGCCGCCCCGCAGCCCCCCACGCCTCCGGCCGCTCCTTCCGGGCTCCGGGGCTCGTCCTCCGCGCCCTGGCCCTGGCCGCGGGCGGGAAGAGCTGGGCTGGGTCCCTGCGCCCGCTGCGTGTCGCTCAGAGGCTCCCGGGGTGGCTCCTTCACCCTGGTGGGCTGTCACATCACTGTCACTGCGGACGTGCGCCGCCCCAGCCCTCTCCCCCAGGCTCCCGGCCCCCCAGCCCCTCCGCAGCGTCCCTCACAGGCGCCCCGGCTTTCCCATCGCGGTGGGTGACACAGCCGGCACCAGTGCCCCTGAGCCACAACCCGGAGTCACCCTTTACCCCCTCATCCTACTCTCGGGTCGCCAGCTCCGGCCGCGCACCGTGACCGCGCCCCTCTCCCATCTGTCCGGGGCTCACTCCCCAGCCTCCCTTGCTGTCTGAGTCCTGGCCACATTCTGCCGGGACAGGGACAACCGGACACGAGGGGCTCCTGGGGGGAAGCCTCGCCCCCACCGCTTCCACTCCCACTGCCAGGCCTCTCCCGCGGTCTCAGTTCCCACGGGCAGCCCTTGGGTTGTTTTTTTGGGGCCCCCATAATGAAGGGACAAGCTGGGCGGCCTACAATAACCAAAAAATATTCTGTCGCCGCTCAACACCAGCAGTTTGCAGTTGGAAATCAAGGTATTGGCAGCGTTGGTACCTGCCTCCCTCCCTACAGGCAGCCTTTGAAGTTCTTTGACCTGTGGAAGGATCACCCCAATATCTCTGTCTTTCTGTCCCTCTGCTCCCCGCCCCCCATATGTGATACTAGGGATTAAAATCTAGGCCTTCATATTGAGCTACATCCCCAATTTTCTTCTTTTTTTTTATTTATTTATTTATTTATTTACTTGGTCTTTTTGAGACAGGGTCTCGCTATGCAGTTCAGGCTGGCCTTGAGCTCACTTTGTAGCCCAGGCTGGTCTCACTTGCAACGATCCTCCTGCCTCAGCCTCCTGAGTGCTGGGATTACAGGTATGCGCCACCACGCCCGGCTTTTATTTCTTTTTTTAAAATTCACTTATTTATTGAGATAGGGAGTCTCTATGTTGCCCAGGATGGGTTCCAACTTGCAATCCTTCTGCCTCAGCCTCCCATTGACGTGCTGGGATTACAGGTGTGCGCCACCCCGCTCGGCAAGTTATTAAAATTTAAAGTGCAGCCAGCTGTTGCTCGGAGGGTAAAGATCCTGTTGCTTTACCTCCTAAGACTGAGCTTCCCCTGAAAGAAAAACAAAAGCCTTAAGAACAGACGGATTCAAATCAGAAGCTGGAGAATAACGTGGGTATTTTGCTGGGGAATGAGTACCAGGCCCTCACTTGCCTCCCCCTACCCCACCTGTTCCTCGGCTCCAGGGTCAGGGTCACGGCGAGGATACCTCCAGGAGCGCCCCTCCCTGTTCCAGCTGGGTGCGGTCTGCACTGCCAGACCATCACCCGCTGCAGGAGTCCACCACTCACATCCGGGTGTTCTGTGGTTAGGATTCAGGGCCTGTTGTGGCGATCCAAGGCGGTGGAATCCCAGCATAGTCACAGATGATGTTTGCTTAAGATGAACATCTTAATGTGCTTCAGAATTTTCAAGGTATGGTTTAAAAAAATACAGTGACTCTTTAAATTTAAAAAAGAATTTCTTACAGTAAAAGACACACTGCCATTAATCCCTCTCAAAACACTCCGCCTTCCTTCGAGCACACTTATTCCATTATTCTTGTTGCTTTCTGAAGTGGTTCTAGAGATCTTCAACAGCGCCATATTTGTTCATCACAACTTGTGGTAACGACTTTATTTTTTTTTTTGTTTTACGGTGAATCGAACTCAGGACCTTGCGCTTGCCAGGCAGGCGTTGTGCCGCTGAATGCGTGCAGGAAAGAGGATTCTGAGAACGGCCTCAGAAAGTGGCAAGAACAGTGTTTGAAGTAAGGGGGCGTCCTTGGAGGGGGATTAAGGGCAATGTGTCTTGTACGGTAACAAAGTTTTAAAGACTTAAACATTCACTATATTCTTGTGGGGGGAGGCGTGGCCGAGAGAGGGTCTCAGGAAACTCCAGGCTGGCCTTGAACTCATGGTGATCATCCTGCTTCACCCTCCCAAGCAGCACTTCATAGTCCTCGATCTTCAAACAGACTTGCCGTTGGGAGCCCACGCCTGCAGTCCCAGCTCCCTGGGAGGAGCACTTAAGCTCTGGAGTGTTGGACCAGCCTGGCAGGCAGCGTACAGAACTCAACTTTAAAAACAAAAAGCAGCAGGATAAGACCAGCAGCAAAATACGGCCTCTCCAGGACCTGGGATCAAGACACCTGGAAAACAAGGTAAAGAAAAATAAAGAAGCAGATCTCTGGGAATTGGGGCAGAACTTCCAGGGAAAACTGGAAACTACAGAGAAGCTGGAGAAACAGAGCTCAACGCAGAGAAAAAACGTGAAGTGGAATGGAAAGCTGGCCCCGGCTTCTGGGCCGGGGAACCTGACTCTGCTGACACGAAGCCCGCAGAGAGACGGCAGCTTCAGGGAGAAACCGCAGACTAGGACAACAGCGCTCATGCCAACAAGAGCCAGCAGTTATGAACTGCAAAAACAGCACGGAGTTTTGCTCCAAAAGTGACTCCACGTGGCAGGCTAGAGTTGGAAAAGAAATCCAGTCCAGCACCCGCCATCTTTAAGAGTGTTCCATCAGGAACCATTTTGCAAAAGGGTTCACTGCTTAGCACTGAGCTACAGAAGGTCACATCAAGGTTTCTGGGGTCACCCTATCACAGCAACTGGGCGGGAGACAGCCACGAGAGACAGCTGTAGAGAGGGTATGGGCTAGACATAGACCTCCTGAGAAATTTAAGGTCAGGCTGGGTCCTACCTTAACACAGAGGTCCTACCCTCACAGATGAGAAGCCAAGCCACTGTGAATGGCTTTCAGAGGAGGCTGAGTCTGAAAATGCTAGCATTAGGTCCAGCAAACACACACACACACACACACACACACACACACACACACACACATACCATTGCCTACATCCATCACAGAGCTCAGTGGTCTGTTTTTTTCCCCATCTGCCAATGTGACCAGAGATACGCCTCAGCTTGGATCATTGCAGTACCCTAGGGTATATGGACAGAGAGGCCTCTGGAGAGGGGGGCAGGGGGCGCCTCACAAAGCTGCAGGTCATAAAGCGAGGCAGAGAAAGCGAATACAGAACCTACAGCATACAGAGACACACAGAAACTGGAAGTAGCTGGAGTGAACATACCCCTGGGCAGAAACCACTGACCAACCATGCCCACAGGAGAGGTAGGGCAGGATTCAGCGTTCACACACACAAATGTGCGTGTGGACACAAAACAGGTCTCAGTAGTACTCACTATCTCCCCCGTATCTGGAGGATCACAGTACTGCAGACCACAGAAAGGCACTACTCATTCAAAAATATGGAGGGAATTTTTAAAAACTCATTTCTCTTTTTATTTATTGTCTTTTCCCCTTTTTTCTTTTGTTCTACTTTTCTTTTTTCTTGTTTGTTCTTTTCTATTTTATATAATTCTATTAATTTTTATGCCTTAGTAGGTTTTTTTTTTTTTTAGTCTTTTTGAGACAAGAGTCTCGCTATGCAGTCAGGGTGGCCTTGAGCTCACTTTGTAGCTGAAACTGGCCTTGAACTCACAAGGATCCTCCTGCCTCAGCCTCCCTCCCAAGTGCTGGGATTATAGGCTTGCACCACCACACCCAGCTCTTAATAGTTTTTTTTTTAATCTCACTTTTTTCACCTCCTTCTCTTCTCTATTTTCTTTATTTCTCAAGTTTTACTTTCATTTTTCCCTTCACCAGCACCTCCATCTTTACTAGTGTTACCAGTAAGCTTTATTAATCCTTAGATATTTAGTCATTACATTTAGTAAATATATCAATATTTGGTTTGTCTTTGTGTCTATGCTATAATTACAAGCTCTTTTCTATTGTTAGGAGTGGTACAGTGGTAGCTTTTATTGGTTCTTATGGTGTGTCAAGGTTCAGCTCATCTTTGACTTATTGTTGCTGATTTTTTTGCTATTGTCAGGGTGGCACAGTGGCTGCTATTAATTAGTTTTTACTGTATGCCACTATCTGGTTTGTCTTTGTGTCATTAACAATAGCTGTAATTTATTTTTGAAGAATTGGGTGTTGGCCCAATTACACTGCACCCCCCCATCCCCAAACTAAGAGGTCAGATCTTGGGACAGAGACGTAGGCCAATAGTTAGCCACAGCCAAGGTGCAATACTGGAAGGCAGACACTAACTAAAGAGATCTGCATAGTAGCAGCAAAGTATTTCCACCATAATCAACCTGCAGCCTTTAGCAATGTGCGTGCGTGCACACACACACACACACACACACACACACACACACTATGAGAAAACCAGGCAACAAAATACCTCAAAAACTTTCAACTCTTCTAAGGCTGATTCAGGGGGCACCAACAGGCAGGATATTAAAATCCAAGTATACAAAATAATAAAAGATAAGACAAAAATAGCCAGGTGTGGTGGCGCATGCCTGTAATCCCAGCACTCGGGAGGCTGAGGCAGGAGGATCGTTGCAAGTTCAAGACCAACCTGGGCTACAAAGTGAGCTCAAGGCCAGCCTGAACTGCATAGGGAAACCCTGTCTCAAAAAAAAAAAAAAAAAAAAGACAAAAATAGGTCAATAAGGAACTCAGTGAGCTCAAAAATGCTATTACTAAGCAGATAATGGAATTAATAAACTAAATGATCAGTTAGTATTATGCCAAGATGGCCCCCAAAGCCTCATGTGCTCATAGGTGGGGTTTTTGGAGCTGGCTGGATCTACGGCATGTGATACCAGGATTAAGGGTGTGTGCTACTGAATTAGTCCAATGATTGTCTTAGCACAGTTCTGGGTGGCAACACCCAAAAGCTGATATCCTGGATGGGATAAAAGGGAAGGCAGCATAGCTTGCTGCTTGCTGCCTTCTGCCTGCCACACCATGCGCTGTTTCTCCTCTGGGATTCCCTTCTGCTGTGCCACCCTGCCTTGGAGCCAGCTGACTACGGACTGAAACCTCTACAAACTGTGAGCTGAAGTAAACCTTCCCTCCTTTAATTTGTGGCTGTCAGGTATTTTGTTCCAGCAATGAGAAAGTAAGTAAGACACTGAACTTACAGAAGACACAAAAAGTTAGCTGAGCTAAACAAAATGATAAAAACATGAACGACCAGGTTGGCAAAGAATTAGTATCCATGAAAAGATGCCATAAAAAGATCCAGAAGATAAAAATTCTATTGAAAATTTGGGCAGCACAAGTGACCAATGTGAGGCCAGAGTATCAGAACTAAAAGACAGAGCTGATGCAGGTGACCATATGCTCAGACAGACCTTAAAAACAACAAACATGAGAGATGGATCCAACACAGCCAGATGAGTCAAAGATGACTAATCTCAGCCTAATCAGAACTAATGAAAAATCAGAAGACAGCATGAATGGCATCAAAAACCTGTTTACAGTAATAATAGCAGGAAAATTTCCAAGTATGGGGAGAGAATTTAACATACAGTAAAGTGAGGCACACAGAACCCCAAATAGCCATGATCAGAAAATAACTTCTCCATGACATCATAGTCAGAGTTCCAGAAGTCCAGCTCTAGGACAGAACCTTAAAAGCTGTTAGAGAAAATGAATCACTTATTAATGTAAACCCTTCAATTATGAAGGTAATTAGAATGACAGCAAATTTCAAAACACAAACCTTAAAGGTCAGGAGAGCCTGATTTGTTTTAACGCATTCCCAGTGGGGCTGCAGTTCATATGTCTCACTCCCGGGTGGCTCTGATTTCATTTGTACACCATATCTCACCGCTAGGCAGCTCTGATTTAATTTTATTACTAAAAAGACTAATAAAAGTAATTAGATCCACTTGTACCACCTGCGGTATAAGCCACCACATGGGACAGTCATGCATGTACCATGGGTGGTTCAAGCTGGCAGGAACATGCTAACTCCTAAATGAAAACAACTTCCAAATCACACTGATAAATCATGCAGAGCTATCTTTTAAAATTTATGATGAAACAAGGTTTTTCTATGAGAAAGAGCACCTTTAGAAACTCATGACCACAAAACTAATTCTCAAAAGAATCCTCAAGGATATCCTCGCAGGAGACAATGAAGCCAACAAGGTCCAAATGTCTAATGGAATGAATACATCAGGTAGGGTGAGCAGTAAAGCAGAAGGGAAAGAAAGGAATCAGCAACAGGACAACGACAGAGAAAGTCAGTACATTCAAGTAGTAACTCTCAATGTGAAAGTGCTCAGTTACCCAATCAAAAGACACAGATTGGTACACTGGATCAAAACTCAAAACCCAAGGTATGCTGTATACAAAGAATATGTTTAATCAAAAAAGAAACTCATAGACTAAAAATCAAAGGGTGGAAGAAAATATTTCATGGAATAGGAACCAGAAAACAAGCAGGAGTGACTATCCCATTTTCAAAGTGGACTTCAAGCCACAATTGGTGAGAAGAGGCAAAGAAGGTTAAGGGAACTATGCACTGGTTAAGGGAACAATTCAACAGGAAGCAATAACAACTATAAATGCATTTGTACTGAACACAAGCACAGCCAACTTTATACAACAAGCCCTACTGGACATAAAAGATTAGACAAACACCAACACAGCTATAATGGGGATCTCATTACGTCACTATCATAAATAGAGCAACTAGACAAAAAAATCAACAAAGAAGTATTAGAGTTGAACCACACCTTCAAACAAGTAGACTTAACAAATATTCTCAGAGTGTCCCACACAATAGCGTACACATTCTTCTCAGGAGCGCATGAAACTTTCTCCAAAACAGATCACATACTAGCCAATAAAGCATGCTTAAATAAATATAAAGAACCAAAATTATCCCATGCATATTATCAGATTAGTGCAATGAAACTAAAAATCAATGGCAAAAAACCCACAGAAATTATGCAAATGCATGGGGATCAAACAATACACCTTTTCTGGAAACAGGTTTTCACTATGTAGTTCAGACCAACCTGAACTCACTAGGTAGCCCAGGCTATCCTCAAACTTGTGGCAATAAGCTTCCTGACTTATCCTTCCAAGTGCTAGGATTACAGGCATCTGCCACTACAGATTAAACAATACACTCTTGAATAATTAATAGGTCACAGAAAAAATCAAGGAAGAATTAGACAGCTCCTAAAATAAAATGATAGTGCCAGTGTAATATACTAGAACCTACTGGACAAAATGAAAACAGTACCAAGAGGGAAGTCTATAGCTGTGAATGCCGATATCAGAAAAACAGAGTAAACCCAAATAAATTAATTAATGATGCACCTCAAAGTCCTAGAAAAACAAGAATAATTTAATCTAAAGGTAGTATAAGGAAGAAAATTATAAAGATCAGATCAGAAGTTAATGAAATTGAGACTAAAAATAAAAATCAATGAATTGAAGAACTTGTCCTTTGAAAGAACAAACAAAATAGACAAACCCTTAGCCAATCTTACTAACAGAAGAAAGAAAAGAGCCAGCTGAGTGTGATTAGAAATAAAAAAGGTGAATTAGGATGGACATCTACTGAAATCTACATTATTAGTAACTACTCCCAAAACCTATACTCCAATAAATTTGAAGATAGAGAAGAAATGGATAGATTCCTAGATACACATGAATTATCAAAACTGAACAAGGAAGACATAATAATGCTGAAAAATCCAATAACAAGCAACAAAATTGAAACACTAGTTTTTTTAAAGCTATCAAGAAAATCCCAGGTCCTGATGAATTCACTGCCAAATTCTACAAGAACTTCAGGGAAGATCTAACACCAATGCTCCCCAACCTCTTTAATGAAATTAGAAGAGAAGGAGTACTCAAAACTCATTCCTAGAAGCTAGCATTACCTAACCCCATATCCAGAGAAGGACTCAGTTAAAAAAGAAACGACAGGCCATTCTCCCTAATCAACATAGATGCAAAGATCCTCAACAAGATACAGTCTTGGCAAACAGAATGCAACAAATCTTTTAGATCACACATTATGACCAAGTAGGTTTCATCCCAGGAATGCGAGGATGGTTCAACATATGTAAATCAATAAAGGTAATGCATAATACAAATAGAAGCAAGGACAAAAATCAAATGATCATCTCAACAGATGCAGAAAAAGCCTTTGGCAAAATCTAACATCTGTTCATGATTTAAAAAAAAAACCCCGAAGAAAATAGGTATGCAAAGAACATATCTCAATCTGATTAAAGACATTTATG